CGCAAAATGCTTCTGGGTTTGTAGGCAGAGTTGACCACCATACGAAGGATCTGAGCAGAGCAAAGACACTGGGCTTGAAGCTGTGGCCGGAAAGCATCAAAGACTGCACAGTTCAAGATTAATATCAGCCCTGTGAGGTAGGCCAGCTTAGAATAGAATAGAATAGAATAGAATAGAATAGAATAGAATAGAATAGAATGGAATGGAATGGAATGGAATGGAATGGAATGGAATAGAATTACAGAATAGAATAGAATGGAATAGAATTACAGAATAGAATAGAATAGAATTACAGAATAGAATAGAATAGAATAGAATAGAATAGAATAGAATAGAATAGAATAGAATAGAATAGAATAGAATTACAGAATGGAATAGAATAGAATAGAATAGAATAGAATAGAATGGAATGGAATGGAATGGAATGGAATGGAATGGAATGGAATGGAATGGAATGGAATAGAATAGAATAGAATAGAATTACAGAATGGAATAGAATTACAGAATAGAATAGAATGGAATAGTATTATAGAATAGAATAGAATAGAATAGAATAGAATAGAATAGAATGGAATGGAATGGAATGGAATGGAATGGAACGGAACAGAACGGAACGGAACGGAATAGAGTAGAATTACAGAATGGAATAGAATAGAATAGAATAGAATAGAATAGAATGGAATGGAATGGAATAGAGTAGAATTACAGAATGGAATAGAATTAAATAGAATAGAATAGAATAGAATAGAATGGAATGGAATGGAATGGAATGGAATGGAATGGAATAGAATAGAATAGAATAGAATAGAATAGAATAGAATTACAGAATAGAATAGAATTACAGAATAGAATAGAATGGAATAGTATTACAGAATAGAATAGAATAGAATAGAATAGAATAGAATAGAATAGAATAGAATAGAATAGCACTGATGATGGAATGTAGTTGGGTCATGAAACGTCTGCAAGAAAACCACCAAGCTCTGAGTCTACCAGGCACCGCAAAGTTCAAAGCCAGGGCTACAAATATTCTCTCCTATGGACAGAAGCTTCAATCTAGATTTAATACTGAGCAGGCAGGTGTTTTGGATGGCCTTACAGGCCCTTCCCACTTTGCCTGGGACGTCTCACCATCCTTACCTCTTTAAGGACCAGGACACATTTGCCTGGCCCGACGGACTGCGGCAGTTCTGCCAACCTGCCTTTGTTGAGATGTGGGCCAGAGAAACAGCGGTGGTTGATGAAGAGCACGGGGCAATTGTACCTCCCATTGACGGTTCCTGCAGAGAAGAAACACACACAATCCCCAACTTCTTCCAGCATCCCATCTGGGCTACATTTGCTCTCTACCTTCCTCTTTCCCACCATCTTGGGACCTAAACAGCATCTGTGTTGATGGAGTTTATCTGCAATTATTAAAATACAAGTGACTTGCAGTTCATATAATGTTTTTTTCACTGAGCTATTTCACCAACTTTCCCTTTTGGCCATTTTTAAAAAAATTCTCAAATTCAGTGGCAAAAGTTTGAAGATTCGGGGGGGGGGTCATATTTGAGGAGCTGAAGTTATGAATGCTGAGTTCATTGATTTATCTTCTAAGCATTTAAAGGATGGTGGTATTTCAGATCCAAATTAGAAAAACGATAATCTTTTCGTCGTAACTCACCCATCCTGTCCGTCTGGGGAAGCCGGTGAGGATTCTGAATTTTCTCAATAGGCACTCCTGATATTATCCTAATAGAGGACCAAAAAAAAAAAAGCCACTCAGATTACAAACCACAGCCCCCATTTATCAACTGACCCGTTTAGTGACTGTTCAACAGTAATAATAATAATAATAATAATAATAATAATAACAACAACAACAACAACAACAACAACAATAATAATAATAATAATAATAATAATAATAATAATAATAATAATAATAATAAAATTGGAAGGGACATTGGAGGTCATCTAGTCCAATCCCCTGCTCAGGCAGGAAACCCTATACCATTTCAGACAAACGGCTGTCCAGTTTCTTCTTAAAAACTTCCAGTGTTGGAGCTTTCACCGCTTCTGGAGGCAGGTTGTTCCACTGGTTAATTGTTCTAACTGTCAGAAAATTCCTCCTTAGTTCTAGGTTGGTTCTCTCCTTGATTAGTTTCCATCCGTTGCTTCTTGTCCTGCCTTCAGGTGCTTTGGAGAATAGGTGGAGCCCCTCTTCTTTGTGGGAGCCCCTTAGATATAGGAAGGCTGCTATCAGAATTAGAAGGGACCTTGGAGGTCATCTAGTCCAACCCCCTGCTCAGGCAGGAAACCCCGTACCATTTCGGACAAATGGCTGTCCAGTCTCTTCTTAAAAACGTGTGGAGCACCCACAACTTCTGGAGGCAGGTTGATGGTTACTGCAACGGTCATTAAGTGTGAAAAACGGTCGTGAGTCCCTTTTTTTTTCAGGGCCGTCACGTCGAATAAGTCGCTAAATGAACGGCTGTAGCCTTGTAACATTCATTCGCTAAAAGAATGGTCGTTAAGTCGAGGACTACCTGTAGATCAACACACCCCTTGCAATTTAATCAAGTACTTTCTAGCTCAGAGCAACCCTTGGATTTATGCGATAAAAACGGTGTTGTAATTGACATTTTAAGGGCAGTACTTACTGCTTTTCCGGCTGGACTATCGCAACTTTTCTCTTCCTTTGCGCTGGAAAATGAGCACAGGGACAAGGGTTAATTTGATATAACGCACGTTTGCAAATGGATTTTCCCGCAGGGAAATTAAAGACCCGCTCACTCTTTTTTTTTTTTCAGGAGCTCCAATAACAGGCAG